TCCACCCTTGCGGTTTCAAATTTAATGGAATCTTCGAGATTATATGGAATATTATAACTTTTGTACACGTTTTATGCCATTTGAACTTCACATTTTGAAGCAAGATGATCATAATATGTGTTTTTTGGCTAGTATATATATATATATATCAGGTTGTGGTGCATCAGAAACTAAAATTTTACACAAAACGAGTACAAGCTAGAGCACATTCCACGAAATCTAGATGATTGTGTTGAATTTGAAATCATAAAGGTGGAGGTGTAAGAAAAAATCATTGTTGAGGGTATATGTAATTATCCAAACAAGAGAGATTTTTTAATAAATTGACCATACCTCAGGGGTGGTTGTAATTTATCCTTTATAAATTAGTTGAAGTTACTATTATTATACTTTTTTTTTTTTACTTTTCACTATTTTGTCAAGTAACGAATATAAAGTTTTTAAGAATTCAATATAATGTGATGTCTGAGATCATTAAGTATTCGTGATAATGTTTCATAATTTTTACTAGGGGTTATATGCCAAACATCCTTCATTGAGATTTTAATTCTTGATAAATCCTTTATTTATTAATGATATTTGAGATAAATCCAATGGGCATTAAAAACCATATATGCCCCCACTAACCATATATAAATCCTTTATACATTAATTAGTATAATTATTTAATTTAAAAAAAATTATACACATAATCTACATCCAAATCTTCTACAAAAATTATCTCCCTCATCACGCCAGTTCAGTTTTTTTTTCCTTTTCTTCTTTATTTTGTTTAATAGTTTTCTTTATTTCGATTTAAAATAAAATTTTATAATTATTTATTATTATTTTTTTTTTTGGTTTTTTATTTTAAATTATTTTTATTTTCTTATTTATTATTTTTCATGTTTTTTTATTTTAATTTAGAAAATAGTTTTATTTTTATTTTCGTTTTTTCATGATTTTTCTTTTTTCTTAATTTCGATTTTTTTTTAAAAATGGTTTTTTTTTTCTTTCCAGCTTTTTTAAATAAAAACCACTCTATAAAAACATGAAAATCACTCTGTATAAATCGCTATATAAACATGAAAACCACTATGTATAAAAATAATTATATAAACATGAAAACCACTATGTATACACAACTATATCTGTATAAACAACTATATAAACATGAAAACCACTATGTATAAAAACAACTCTATAAACATGAAAACCACTATGTATACACAACTATATAAATATAAAAACCGCTATGTATAAACAACTATATAAACATGAAAACCACTCTGTATATTTTCGAAAACCACTATGAAATTATCGAAAACCACTATGAAATTACCGTAAAATTCACTATGACATTAAAGTAATGCACATTAATATTGATGTAATCCACTACAAACTTATCGAAATCTGCGTAATTCACAACGAATTAAAGTAATTGACTAAAAACACAACAGAAAGTTAACAGAAAAAAAAAAAACGAAATCCACTATTCCCAAACCCTAAATCGTCATCCATCTCCCATGGCCACCGACACCTCCCCAAAAATCCAGAAAACAAAAGCTCATTCATGTGCCGCCCCAACCCGAATACCACCCAGAAATAATCCACTACAAAGTACAAACACAACAAGAAAACAAAAAAGAACAAAAAAAAAACAAAAAAAATCCACTATTCTTGAACCTTCGATCATCTTCCATCTCCCATCGCCAACGACGACTCCGCGAAAAATCTGAAATCCATTACAAGCTCATCATAGAAATCACTACAAAAATATAAAAACCCACTACAAAAAAATCCCCTTTACAAAGAGAAAATTGACTCCAATTTTATCAAAATCCACTAAAAACTTACTTAATACTTTAAACTCGGATTAGTTGATTGAATCCCTCTAAAAGTTCTGACATTTTTTTTTAATCTTTTCTTGTTGATTTAATTCTCTAAACACCAAGAATCTAATATCTCTTGCTGTTAATTAATTATTGATTTCATTATTAATAATTGTAAAGGAACAAATGTGCCAATGAACAACAGCAATTGTTATCGTCCAACGCTGCACGTGATACTGACATGCCTTATAGATCAAACTGAGAAGCTCTACTGATACAAAATTCAATACAATAGCGAAAATTAAACAAACTAAGATGCCACAATAAAAAAATCCCCTTTAAAATTTTACCTAAATCCATCACAAAAAATTCCATTTACAAAAAATCCATTACATATGAATTCTGACGCCGCCACATAATGTTGATGGTGTTCAATATATTCTCTCAACACTCTCCTACATAGTAATAATATTAATTAAACATAATATTAGAACAAAAATACCTTTCCGATTGAATTAATGTAAATCAAACATTATTTGGATTTTGTCGCTGGCGGTGGTGCGGTCGCTCCAGATTGGAAGAGGCATAAGAGGGGTTGTGATGACCCTGATCCGGAATTGAATCTCGATCCGGAATTGAATCTCCGTCGCTGGTTGTGATGACCCAGATTACGTTGAAACGGTTTCTCTGTAATTAAGGGGCGCAATCGTGGAATTATATAAGGATGTGTTGTTACTATATAATAGGAAAATATATTACAAATCTTTTTTTTTTTTTGTTTTTTTTTTTTATTTCCAATCATAAAACATACGTTACTTTTAAGTTAGGGGTATAATAGTGATAATTTATTATTTTTTACTCAAAAAGTTCTAAATAAATTGGACCTTAATTAGACTTGTGTAATGAGGGGCTTTTGACAAATAATCCCTTTTTACTAATAGCATCAATGCTTATTAAGATTTACTTTTATGACGTATATTAAATTTAGTAAGTATTACAAAAATTAACAGAATAAGTGTTAATATCACATAATTTGCAAAATGTGTTAAAAAAAAAAAAACTAAGATGATTTTTGTACTTAATGGCAATTTTGTCATTAACATTAAAAGAATGACAAAACGTAAAAACTTTTAAGTACAAAATGTACTTCGCCCAATTTTTAGCTTTCGCACTTTCCCCCTATAAATTGAAAGATTAGACTCTCCCTTCCAAATTTTGTTATATTTGCACTTTGCCCAAATGAGACTTTCCGGCGTATTTTTCACCAGTTTTTTCATATCTCTATCAACGTGAAGGGCATTTTCATCCTTTCACCAATTTCACCCAAATATTAATATCGTTGAAAATCCAAATGTTGAGATGGGTTCTGCGTTTGTTGTTGCATCAATATCGATCCAAGCTACAACAGGCTGGATCTTTCGCCTTGGAAGTCAAGGTTGCTGGAGTAATTGAACCTCGACATAAAATGCAGCAGCGCCAGTACCGTGTTTCCTCCGCCATCGCCGCCACCGTGGGGGTTGGCGAACGGGCACATCTGGGTTGTCTCGGATGGATCAGAGGATGAGGGGGTGTTGCCGCCGCCATCAGTTGTGGCCACATGGAGCATTTAGAATGTGTTGCCGGAAACGTCGGTGGTCGACACCGCTGGCATCACAATCCACATGGCGGTGGACGACATCATATTGTCATGCTTCATTAAGTTTCCCGGAGATTTACTGGTGGCCACCAGCGTGTTGTAAAAGGAATGAAGCGCGGATTTTGACGGCGGGGCCAACATAGTTGAGCCGCTGCTTATGAGAGAGATGTTTCGGCAGGAGAAATTGGCCGTAATTGTGCCGGTACCAGTGGCATTTATAATATTTGGATGGAATTGGTGAAAGGACAAAAATGCCCTTCAAGTTGACGGATATATGAAAAAACTGATGAAAAAATACACCGGAAAGGCCCATTTGGGGCAAAATGCAACTATAACAAAATTTGAAAGGGGGAAAGTCTCATCTTTGAATTTGTAGGGGGAAAGTGCGAAATCTAGAAATTTCTTGGGGCCGAAGTGCATTTTATCCAAATTGATGACAAAACTCTACGGGAGGAAAGTATTACTTTTATAATTTTAGAGGAAAGTACAGTTTGCACCCCTGAACTATGGGGCTTGTCACAAACACCCTCTTAAACTATAAAACGTACCAAAATGGCCCCTCCGTTTCCAATCCGTTTGTGTACAATGACGTGTCAAGTTGACTTTTTTCATTTTCAATTAGTTTTGTGCCCGCACCATTTTATTGACATTACAGTAAACCAGAGTACTAAAGGGAATTGCAAACACGTTGCAGAGAAATAAAGGAAATTGCAAAAAATGGATTTTGGGCATTTCGAATTCGTTCAAGCGCAACAATCAACTGCTTTCAAATCTACCAAATCGATTGCTTTCACGAATAATTGCTGAGAGAAATTGTGGGCCCCAAATTGCTTAATTTCGTCTTCGTTTGTCCACAGGCGCCGGAAGAGCTTGTAGGATTCGTTGGGTAGGACCTGGTTTTTGGCAACGATGGGTTCCTATTGACGGTTTTCTGATTGGGCTATTAATGGCGAAAGCGGCGGAAGAGGCGGAATCATCTTTGGTCGAAACTTTCTTCATCTTCGTTGAAGATATTATTAGCAGCGGCGGCGGAGGATTGTTGGGATCACCGACGGATGCCGATTAAGAATTTCCTGATTTGAGGGCTCACGACGAGACAAAGTTGTGCTAATTGGTTGGTTTCGAGTTGATAGTGAGATGTGGTTCAACGCTTCAAATGGGTGGAAATAGGGAGAGGCACCGCCGCCGAGACAAGAAAGAATGAAAAAATCGAACAAGGGAGAGGCACCGCCGGGAGAGAGGCTGCCGGTGAGATGCTTGTGGTGGCAGTGGGTTTCTTCTGCTCAATATTTGATTTGGAAGAAGGTGTGCTTACTAGGGTTGTACTCAAAGGTACAACCCGATAATGCAAACATATTTTAAGGACAAAACGGTAAATGCACACATATACTAACGGTGTTAAGTTTTTGACAGTTGACTGAAAATAGCAGGGGTCATTTCGTTACGTTTCGTAGTTCAAGGGGGTGTTTGTGACAACCCCTATAGTTCAGGGGTGCAAACTGTACTTTCCCCATAATTTTATTACATTAAGGTTGGAAAGTGTTACCACCTCAATACTTTAGGGGTGCAAAATATAATTAGCCCAAAGTAATTTGCAGAAACCATCGCCAAGATTAGTTGGGCAGGCAAACAATCGCAGAGGCACGCACTTCGAATTCTGCCTTCAAATCAATTCAATTCAATTAAATCTCCCCTTTTATTCCACCATTTTTCTTGATCCGCCATACCTGCAAATCAAAGCTTCTTCTTCCAATAAATAATGGGCAACAGCTCCTCCATGCTCACTCAATACGACATAGAAGAGGTCCAAGACCATTGCAGCAACACATGTACACTCCTTCAAACTCTATTACACCCCTCAATTTCTCCTTTACTGTGTGTTTCTATGTGTATTTTTACTGTTTAGCCCTTCTATGTCTTTTTTTTTTCTGGGTGTCGGATGAAAAGCCCCAATTTTGAATTGATTATTTCTGAATTATTGAGTTCGATTAAGTTGCTGCTGTTTTTTGATGAATTGTAAGTGAAATGCAGTTTCGCAGCAGGAGATTGTGTCACTGTATCAGAGATTCTGTCAATTGGATCGAAACGGATGCGGATTTATCTCCGCCGAAGAATTCATGACCGTACCCGAATTCGCCGTCAACCCCCTTTCTCAGGTTATATATAAAAACCCCTCTTTTTTTTATTTATTTATTTATCATTCTTTAGTTCATATCCGAGTGTGGCGTTCGTGCACAAAATCAAACTTTTTAGTCTTGTAACTGATATTACACAGCTGCATTTTAATACTGCTCGGTGCTCGGGAATGTTTAGTCTTTGTGGCACGAGTGATAAGTCGGCTAAAATCAGCATCGTTGGTCCGGTATTACATTGGTATATAATCGACAAACAAAAATAAATCCTTGCACTCGTGTTCTATTTTTTAAGTTCTAGTCCATTTCGTTAGTTCTTTAAATCTTCTTAAATTATACTCACATCACCTTTTCTTATCTCGATATTTTTTAATAGACTATAGATCAGTTTAGTTTATTACATTTTCATTTCTAAGAATTCTAAAGTTCAATTTTTTTGAGACGCCAAGACAAAAATCAGATAATGGACAAACAAAGATAAATCGGGTGTTGAAGGAGCAAAGTGAACCTTGATATTATTTTGTTACACTTCTAGTGATAGTAATATTACGTTTTGATTTGATTTGTTTTAGTATTTTAATTAAAAAATGTCTGTTCTGGTCGCGAAATGGTAATGGCACCAACTAGTTCTTGTGTTTGCTATCTACGAACAAAGGCTTGGGAATTTTCTTGAATTCTCGAGTTCGATAATATAAAAGATTATGCTGGTAATTACTTGTATTTGGTTGAGGAAAAATCGTAATGGCTTGCGTATGAAGCATCAACATGAACGCGTCTAAGATCTTGTCGCTATTCATGTGCGGTTTAGTATAAACTGTATAATCTAGGAAACAATTTAAAGTTGTGAATTAATGCATTACCTTTTGTTTTAGTAAAAACAAATGTGGTTGTCTTATGTTGTCTATTATTATTATTATTGTTTTCTTTTTTTTGTTTTTTTTAGAGATTGTTTAGGATGCTGGACGGATTAAATTTCAAGGAGTTTGTTGCATTTCTATCTTCTTTCAGCTCTCGAGCATCAATGCAGCAGAAAGTTGAATGTAAGACTTTACGAGACTTCTTTCAGCTCTTGACATATTTTATTTGCTGTAAAAAATAATCGACTGATGTTGTACGCAATTTCCTTTTACGCAGTTATTTTTAGGGTTTATGACTCTGATGGTAATGGGAAGGTTACTTTCAACGAGATGCTCGACATATTGCGGGACTTGACCGGTCAATTTATATCTGAACAGCAGAGAGAGGTTGATTATATTCTGATTTTTCTTTTTGGGTAAATTACAAACACCCCCCCCTGAGGTATGACCAAATTACAAAAACACCCCTCTTGTTTGGATAATTACAACCACCCCCTCAACTCATCAAATTTAGTGGAATCTTCGAGATTATATGGAATATTATCACTTTTGTACCCGTTTTATCCCATTCAAACTCTACATTATGAAGCAAGATGACCATAATATGTGATTTTTAGCTTGTATATATCAGTTTGTGGTGCATCGAAAACTGTATTTTATACACAAAGAGTACAAACTAGAGCACATTTCACGGAATCTAAATGACTATGTAGAATTTGGCACCATAAAGGTAAGAAAAAAGCATAGTTGAGGGGGGTAGATGTAATTATCCAAACAAGAGGGGGTTTTTTGTAATTTAACCATACCTCAGGGGTGTTTGTAATTTACCCTTTCTTTTTAGGATTTTAGTGGCGTGCAGTTTTATTAGTAGAGAAATATGCTGTAATAGGATTTTTCGTTCCCCGTAGAGTTTATTGGGATATACAGATCGTAAATTTATTCCTTCCCCGTAGAGTTTGTACCTGATGAATTTTTTATTCTGGCATTTTGCAATAGCCGACTCCCTGTAATTTTTGTGCGTTTTGACTTATGCAAGTGTTGTTTTTTTCAAACAGAAAGTTCTTGGTCACGTTCTTGAGGAAGCAGGCTATACAAAGGATTCTCTGTTAGCTCAATCCGACTTCATGATGGTAAATTTGCAAATTACATTGCAATTAGTTGAAGTTAGTGAGGTTATTTTACATTGATGAAATTTGAAGCTTGATACGTTACCCGCTGCTGTATTTTTTTCGTCGCTTCCAATTTTTCATCACTTCTTTTTTATTTTGCTACTAGCCCCTTTAAATATTTTTACGGTTTGGAAGGGTATTAAAGATTTAAGAACCCAGCTTTTAGGAATTGATAGTGGAGCTCATTAGAGAATTCTAGAAGATCTTCTAAAATATATTTTTGATAGGAAATCCTTGGAGTGTTCTAGAGAACATCTCATAGCCGTTAGATCAAATTGATCTCTACCGTCCATTGAGTAGTTGCCGTTGTATAAATAGGGGTAGCTCATTCATTTGTAAATCATTCAAGAATCCAAGAATCCAAAACATTCAAGGCGATGGAATTACCGCACGCATTTGATATTCACGTTTCTTGGATAACTTAAGTTTCTTGCATTCTCGTCTTGAAGTTCAATAGTTATAATTATGCAGAAAGTCTTTTGCAAACGTATTGTCATCTCCCTGAGAGTCTTGTCAGCTATAAAAACTGCTCGCTTACTGAAGAAATGAATGATTCATTGGCATTTGTTTTGGTTCCCTTTACAAAAATGTAGTTACAGTATTGGTGGTTTGGATAGAAATTTTATTTTTTGGGTCAACGATTATGTTTTATTTTTTTGGGGAAATCGTAAATTTTTTTCTTCAACGGTATTTTTGCATATATTTTGCACAACTGAAGAACATATCCTTACACGTTTCGCTTCTTATGATCTTACTTACAGATTCTTGGTAATTCCAGTTTGAAGATGGAAGTTGAAGTTCCTGTAGATTAGGAAAAAAAAAAATATATCTGCTATGGCTAATTTATGTTTGTTAACTTATTATGGTTGATTTATTGAATGATTCCATCTTGTAAGACTTATAATTGGCTTTACTGAATAGCTTGACAAACATATCTGATCGTTCAAATAATGTACACTTTTATCGTACACTTTTATGTTGTGTCTGTGTAACCGTGCTTGCATTTTCACAAAGTCAATTCATTATTCATTTTTCAAGACCATAGAATCTATGTTAATGGCCTTATTGCATATTTAAAAATAGTGGAATTAGACTCCGTAATTAGAAATTTGGTCTTTATTTATTCCAGGCACCCCTTTCTTACCAATCACTTGTATTGGGAAAGTATTGTTGTCTCTCTTAATTTTTTTTATTGACAGAACATAACTAAAAACATTCGATGTACAGTATTTATATATTAACATAGACATGAGGCAATAGTGGTTGAATTTCATCCCTTTCAAGTTAACTTCTTGATTTGAAGAATTCTTTCTTGTTCCATATTATGTGTTATTTTAAAATTCAAATGATGCATTAATCATCATTTTTCTCAATTTTGTCCTTGTCACTTTTAATTAGCTAGAACGAATTAATGGAAATAAAATAAATGACATGAGTATTTTAGTCGCAATATATATTTTTTCCCTAAAATTTAAGCATAATTATTAGTTTTCTTAATATGTGTTCAACAATCTAATTTGTTTCTCTTTTGGGACAGAGGAAGTAATTGTTTAATCAATTTCAAGAACGTTTGTGATAGGATTATCGAAGTTGACAATATAATGCGTTTGGTCTCCATTTAGAATTTAATGGTATGAATCGGATTGCAGAATTAACACTTGCAGAGAAAAATAAAATCAGAAACTGAATATAAATAAACTTGTTCCAAAATGAGAATTTTGGATTGAAATCGATGAAATTCACAATTCTTTGTCCACCCATAATATAAAATCCCTAATGATGTCTCAAACCACTAAAAAAATAGCACTAGTTAGTTGTACCTCTAAAATTTTTCTTTGTGATACTCTAGCAATTTTTATTCCAATATTACCACTCGCAAAAATGCGTATACTGCATTAGTAATTATGTGATCTATACTTATCAATTCGCTTGCATCAACATTTTTATTGACATAAATTATCATTTATTGGACTACATTTAGCATTTTTGCGCGCATTTTTTTAAAATATGCTCATGTCACATGTGGACTTTCTTGTTACCAACATAGTCGATAATATGCTTCATAGTTGATTAATATACCTAAGAGAGAAAAAAAGTTAAGAAAAAAACATAAAAATTGAAAAAATAATAATTAAATAATAATAATTAAAAAAAAAAGAAAAAGAAAAAAGACACGGCTGATGGGTCATGGGCGTTTAGTGCTGATGAGGTGGCAGTGACATAATTGAAAAAAATGGTGGCTGAAATTATGAGTGTTTTTTTTTTTAAATGGTACAAAATAGTTTGGGTCTCCCCTATTAAAAGAAGTCTTGATGGATTATATCAAAGAGCTCCAATTTTAAAAACGAAAAGGTTCTTTGTAATTAGACATACCATGCAATTATCTGTAATTTACTAAGTTTCTCAAGCCCCGTTGATTTGTAGTGTAAAAACTACAAATATTCTCGAAGTTAAAGTGGGCAAAGTATGTACTTTTATTGTTTTAAAGAGTTTTGACAATGATACAAAAATCGAATCTCAAATATTACGAAACACGAAAGGTGTAGATTATTTAATGCGATTTCCAATGCAAACTCGAATTAGTGCAATTGAATTTTGTATGAAAAAGTTGTAATCGATTAGTATATATATAGAGTACCTTGGTGCCTTATGGAACACATTCTCTCTGAAATAAATACCTTAAATTTTTGTTTAAATGGTTAATTATTTCTCTACTCTTATTTTGTGTAGTATATTCCAAATAGTCTTAAAAGAAAATAATGTCAATTTGCAATTTTATTTCAGATATTGATTTCCTCAGAAGGTACGGTTCTCTTGCCAAGATAAGATTAGCCTATATAAGATAGTTAGTTCTCCCTTTAAATAATTTATTAGGAATATTATTTTATAGAGCTCTTTACAAATAGGTCCATCAATTGATACTTATTTATAAAGAGATCCAAACAATATTTTTGTTTACAAAAAAGTCTACACATGGTCCAGATTTTTTTAAAAGATTAAAATAGCCCCTCATACTTTAATATGGTCCAATTTCATCATTTAATTTAATCTAACCTCAATTTGACCCCAAATTCACAAATTATTCAATTTTGACCCAAAACACATTTTTATGGATAATTTCTCTCGTCACCGTCGTTGACCGCCGGTCTCCGGCGTTGACTTTTTTTTTTTTTTTTTTTTTGTTTTCTTCCTGATTTTTCCGCCACCGGTTTCCGGCGTTGATTTTTTCGATTTTTTTTCTTTCTTTCTCTCTGTAACATCTTTTTTTCCCCGTTTAAACAACAATATTACTGTGATTGACAGTAATATTAACTATATTACTTTTAAACACAGTAAAATCAACTATACTACAGTTTAACACAGTAATATTGCTATATTAATCTCTAGCACAGTAATATTAACACAACAAAATTCATTATTATTGTGTAATAGAGTAATATCAATATGTTACCGTTCAACAAATGCGAACATAATAAAAAAACCAAAAGAATTAATATTACTGTGAGTAACAGTAATATTACTATAACAACAGTAATATAACCGTCAACCACATTAATATTACAATAATAGACAGTAATTATTACGTTGCTCCATGAATAACTCAAACAAACAAAAAAACCCAAACAAAATAATAATATTGATGTGGTTGACATCAATATTACTATAACAACAATAATAGTACCGTCAACCACAGTAATATTATTGTGTTTACAGTAATATTAAAATAATATGCAGTAATATTATTACGTTACTCCGTGAATAAATCAAACAAAACAAAAAACCCAAAAAAATTAATAATATTGATGTGGTTGACGGTAATATTGTTGTGTATACAGTTATTTTACTGTCAACGACAGTAATATAATTACGTTGACTTATCAACAAATCAAACAAATTAAAAAAAAAAACAAAAATATATATACTGTTAATATTTGTTTTGTTTGATATATTATCAACGGTAGTACAATTACGTTAATTTACTGTCAACGGTAGTACAATTACGTTAATGTACTGTCACTGACAGTAAATTAGCGTAATTATACTGTCAATTACAGTACATTAACATAATTATACTACCGTTGACAGTAAATTAATTTAATATTTTTACTAACGCCAAAGTCAACCGAAGATGAGATTATTTATATATACCGATATTGAACTAAACATATACATTTTGAAGTCTAAATGGTAAGAGAACTATGTGGGCGTTTATTCCGCACCGAATATTTAGACAATTTCATATTAACTTCAACTCTCTCTCTCTCTCTCTCTCTCTCTCTCTCTCTCTCTCTCTCTCTCTCTCTCTCTCTCTCTTAAATTTGAATTGAAGTCCAAGTCCATATCCTTTAAATAAATACTTTTCCATTGAAAGAAAACAATTTAAAATTTCAAAAATTATTATAAATTCAAGTGTATTAAGTTTCTGAACTGCCGATCCAACCGCCGGTTTCCGATCAATTTCCGGTCTGCAAAAGTCAGAAAATTGTTCATTATTAATAAATTCATTAAAGAAATATTATAATATGCATTATTATTGTAGTAGAAAAAATATTTCTCTCTCTAGAAAAAACGCTCTGCCTTCTCTCCAGAAATTTGTGTCTTTCCGACGAAGATTTTGATTGATTTTAGCCATTCATATGTTCGTTTTTCATTTTATTCATTTCTGGTTAGTTGATCATAGTTTTTTATTGTCATTTTAGTTGAATTATCCTTCAGTTCTGAGGTTTTCGTGCTCTTTGCATATAATTTTCTCAAAATTTGGTAGTGTTCTTTGTTTTTTTCGTGTTTGTGTTTGGGTCAGCCGTATTCTTGTGTTTTTGTATTGTTTTTTGGCTGTTTCTCCTTCATTTTGTTCGCTTTTGGGACTGCTTTCATTCCTTATGATCTCAGCCTCGTTTTTTGCTTCCATTTTAGGGCATTTTTCGCTCGTTGTGCTTCTTTAATTTGAGTTTTAGTGAAGGTTTGTTTCGTCCTCATTTTGTTTTGTATCTTGTCATCGGTTTTTGGTGTCTTCGTCGTATCTCCGCCTTCTCTCGGTGGAGATCTTCGAGTGGGTAGCTGCTGCTTGTGCCCCCTCGTGAATCTAGACTCTCATCTTGTCTTGGTTCCTCATTTAATGAGTGTAGCATATCAAGATTATTCTAAATTGGGACCTTCCTTTTCGGACGTGGTAGTTATGGAAGATTTCACCAATCAATATTTCTTGATTATGGAAGCTGAATCTTCTACACAAGGCAAGGTCTCCACAATTCAAATTCCACCAACCCTTTTTCGCGCCCATTCCACCTCACCCCTTGACTTGGCTAGAACTCCTCACCTCAGCCAACCACAATTCGCCAAGTTTACACCACTTGTCAAACCACCATCCTATGAGGATTTTTCTAGCCTCAAACTACAGGCCCTTAAGCCCATCTCAGCCCCTAACTCTTCTAAGAAAGGCCTATCTTACACTCTAAAACTGACTCACGATAATATCACTCAAACCCGAGCCCAAAACCCTAAAACGGACCACCTAAACCCCAGTTTTATGTCCAAAACACTATAAATGATACTTCTATCCCTATTTTTGAATTGGACAAATCATAATCCGAATTCCCAATTCCAAACCCAAAATCTCCAATTAAAAAACCCAATTCCGAAATTGAAACATTTAATCCCGAAATTCAAACCCCAAAATCCTAATCCCCGACCAAATCCTTTGCTGCTGCTGTACACGGTGATATCGGACCTCCAATTGCCCCTTATAAGGTTGATCATCGTCGTCACTTGCTAAATCGAGAAGAAATCGCTCCAATTGGGACAATTAAAGTGATAGATGGCAAGAATGTGCTCTATTTCTCGAAAAAGAAGGTTGATAAGATGCTTCAGCCGTTAAAGTACACCTTGATTGGTAAGTTTTCTCATGGTATACCTCACTACAAAGTTATGGAGAAGTTTATTTACGATTTAAAGCCCGGCGGTTCCTTTGAGTTGC